AAGGACGTGTTGAAGAGTTTGGGGAAGAGCCTGTGATAGGCGACATGTTCATCAGTAAACATCTCAGGGAACATCAAAAAGATGGCGTGCGCTTCATATTTTCTCATCTACAGGTGTTGCTTTCTTCGGGTTGCTATTTGTACTATATAATTTAAAATTGAGATTGTTCAGAACGAAAAGGGTGTCATCTTGGCTGACGAAATGGGTCTAGGAAAGAGCATCCAAACAATTGTAGCAACTTTGGCACTAATGAGACAGCCGAAGGTGGATTATCAGACAATTAATAGATTGCTGGTTTTTCTTGTTATCACCTTTTTTTATAGTTGTGACTCCTGCTACCAGCCCTTTCTATGAGATAATTATCTTGTTTTGATGAAGATTCTAGTATTTAGAGTTCTGCTAGTTATGTCCCCAAAAAATGTTTGTTGGTTGTTCCCTCATCACTAGTTAACAATTGGAAAAGCGAATTTCGAAAATGGTTCTACATAGGAAGAAGTCCGGTAAGTGTAGAACTTTGGCTTCTCGCGTTATGTTTCCATCTTTGATTTCGTAGATATTCTAACATACGGTTTGCCTTCAGATAATCACGGTAGCAAAGCCATCTGACGTGACCACGTATTCATGCTCCTACCAAACGTATCCCTATTTGGTGATTAGCTATGAGATGGCTTTAAGGTAAGTTTTGTTAAGTTCCATCCATACGTTTATTTTTGGTCCATATCAAAGAGAGGTTTAAAGGTACATTGAAAAACTGGCTTCAGTACACTTTGATATGCTGGTCTGCGATGAAGGACATCGACTCAAAAATATCAATTCAAAGCTACGACAGGCGGTTGGTTTCTTTTAACATTGTGAGCTAAAGGCCGAAATCAAAAATGCAGCGTTTGCTTGTTTTCAAAATTTTGCTCTCCTAACGACCATATTCCTCATTTTGCTTGTTTTGTATCTGTATATAGATTGGTATTTCTTATTTGTGGTGGCACTTGGCATGAATTGTCTGAAAATTATTGCAGGGTCCTAAATTTAAAGATTTTGAATTTCGTTAAAACTTTGTCTAGAGAAGCATGTCATGCTGATCATGAATATCTTATCCAGTTTACA